AAAGGCTGTCAAATCAAACTGACTGCATATAGTAATTGCACTGCACTGTTTCAGTGCTTTGGAATATGTTGACGTATTTGTGAGGGTGTTGAACCACATTTGGTGTGTTTGTAATATCCTGTTCCTCAGCAAAAAAAAACTAGGACAGCAATGAAATGTTTTGAAATGTTTTCATTACTCAGAAATGTGACATAGTGAGTAAACCGTAACTTCACAAATTTCATCATCAGGAAGTGATGTATAAGTGCCCAATTGTATACGTCAAGTAACAATTTCAAATTAACAAAGCACCTCTGAAGTGTCCTCATTGATGTAAAGTAAGAAAACCAGCAGCCAACCATAGTCAGCAGTGAAAAAATTACAAGAGTATTGTTTCTAAGATTTGCTTTAAATGATAAAGATTGGACAGTGTACTGGGAAAAACTCAACTACTCTTATTTAAAATAGGACTATGCCATGTTTTACTTCCAAATTAACACATAAATCTCATTATTTCTATGTGGATTGAAATGAAATTTGCTCAAACAATAGTTACGAAAATGACTAGGTTCATTTCACGTCATTTCCCTACATCAAAGAAAGGTTTACAAAGAAAAGGTAGACATTAAAGTAGCCATATACTTCACACATCAAAGAACAGGTTTAGCAATGACATAAACTATAAGCGCTTGATAGTTACTTACATAAGGTCAAAAATCTAATAAAATAGTGACAAAATAAATCACAAAGGAAAAAAGAAACTTGTAAAGCTAACAGGCAATAGTTTTTCTGAAGAAGGGTCCAGATCCGAAACGTCAGCTTTCCTTCTCCTCTGATGCTGCTTGGCCTGCTGTGTTCATCCAGCTGTACACCTTGTTAGCTCAGGCAATAATTTCTCACCCATTTCAATTAATAAATTTTTTGGAAAGAAATATTGTTTGGTACATGTTGCAAAATTCATTCTTTACAATTCTGAATTTGTGTCGTCTTGTTCTGTTGCACTAGCATATCGGAAATTATTTCCAATTTATGGGATCTTAATTAAACAAGTGGCTGAATCTTATGGAGACCTGACCAAAGTGGGCTATGGGTGAGAAATCTGTGCGACGTGGCTGAGCCCTTTCTAGACATTGGGAGCAACCTGCTACATTTATGAAGGGAATTCTAGATGTCAAGTTGAGATTCTCACATGGCAGTGATGGGCTGCCAGTTAATGGGGATTATTGCTTGTTGATGGCATCACTAACTGCAAATCTCACCTCATAAAAATATAGCAATCTATCTTACCTCCTGCTGTGAGGGAACTAGATGTCAACACTTCCCAACATGAAAGTTAGAGTAGGTACCTAATGAATTCAGCTTGCTGCTTGCTCGTCTACACTGCCAGCTTGGATGCCTAGCAAACAGCAGCTGAAACATTCAACATGCCCTGCCCATGAACACTGGCATCCGACATCTGCCAACCTCTCAGGACCCTCATGGCTTCTCCCCAATCCACATACATTTAGTGCTGCACTCCAGGGCACACCGGGACCCCTCATTGTAATGTTGTTGTTAAGACACTGTGTGCACACACATACAGACTGATTGGACCTGACTGCATCTCGCTCTGGGGAGGTGATGGCCTAATGGTATTATTACTAAACTATTAATCCAGAGACCCCAGTAATGTTCTGGGGACCTGGGTTCAAATCCCACCATTGCAGATGGTGGAATTTGAATTCAATAAATATCTGGAATTAAGAATCTAATGACAATCATGAATCCATTGTCAATTGTCCAAAAAACCTATCTGGTTCACTAATGTCCTTTAGGGAAGGAAATTGCCATCCTTACTGGGTCTGTCCTACATGTGACTCCAAACCCACAACAATGTGGTTGACTCTTAACTGCCCTCTGGGCAATTAGGGATGGGTAATAATGCTGACCTTGCCAGTGATGCCCACATCCTATGAATGAACAAAAAATGATACTCACTGCATCCTTAACTTGCCTTTTTGGGTTTTAGTCACTGAGCCAAAGCTGCCAGGCTCACATTACTTTTGTCTTAGAATCCTCATGGTGTGCAAATAGGTCATTCAGCCCATTGAATCCACACTGAACCCTCCAAAGAGCATCCCATCTAGCTGGCATACCCCTGGACATTACAGGCAATTGAGCATGGCCAATCCACCTAACCTGCGCATCTTTGGACTGTGGGAGGAAACCACAGCACCCGGAGGAAACCGATGCAGACACGGAGAGAATGTGCAAAGTCCACACAGACAGTCGTCCGAGGGTAGAATTAAACCCAGGTCCCTGGTGCTGTGAGGCAGCAGTGCTAACCACTGAGCCAACGTGCTGTCCTCATCAAGTCAAACAACATGGATTTAAAGTTTTAGCAAAGATTTGTAGTTCAGGTTGAGGATGAGGTTGTTGACTTACTCGCCAAGCTGGCTTGTTTTCGATCAGATATTCCATCATTATGCTAGGTAAGATCATCAGTGAGGCCTCCGATGAAGCAATGTTATTCTTCTTCGCTTGGAATTTATACTGTCCGGTCCATTATGGGGAGTACTGTCATTTCCGGTTTTGTTCTGTACAAGTTTGTATATAGGGCCCAGTTGTGTATGTTTGTTGATTGCCTTATGGGTTGAGAATCATGCCTCTAGGAATTCCCGTGCAAAACCAGAGCAAAACCGGAAATGACAGTACTCCCCATAACGGACCGGACAGTACAAATTCCAAGCGGAGAAGAATAACATCGCTTCATTGGAGGCCTCACTGATGATGTTACTGAGCACGGTGACGGCTCGCCGAGCAAGTCTACAACCTCATCGAGCATGGAAACAGACCCTTCAGTCCAACTAGTCCATACAGACTATTTTCCCAAACTAAACTAGTCCCACCTGCCTGCGCATAGCTTCATATCCCTCCAAACCCTTCCTATTCATGAACTTATCCAAATGTGTTTCAAACGTTGTAACTGTACCTGCATCTACCATGTCCTCTGGCAGTTCATTCCACACATGAACCACTCTCTGTGTAAAGAAATTGACCCTCATGTCCTTTCTAAATCTTTCTCTTCTCACATTAAAAATATGTCCCCTACTTTTGAACTAGAACAAAGAACAAAGAAAATTACAGCACAGGAACAGACCCCTCGGCCCTCCAAGCCTGCGCCAACCCAGATCCTCTATCTAAACCTGTCACCTATTTTCCAAGGATTTGTATCCCTCTGCTCCCTGCCCAATCATGTATCTGTCTAGATACATCTTAAATGACGCTATCATGCCTACCTCTACCACCTCCACTGGCAACGCGTTCCAGGCACCCAACACCCTCTGTGTAAAGAACTTTCCACACATACCTCCCTTAAACTTTTCCCCTCTCACCTTGAAATCGTGACCCCTAGTAATTGAATCCCCCACGCTGGGAAAAAAGCTTCTTGCTATCCACCCTGTCTATACCTCTTATGATTTTGTAGACCTCAATCAGGTCTCCCCTCAACCTCCGTCTTTCTAATGTAAATAATCCTAATCTACTCAACCTGTCTTCATAGCTAGCGCCCTCCATACCAGCCAACATCCTGGTGAACCTCCTCTGCACCCTCTCCAAAGCATCCACATCTTTTTGGTAATGGGGCGACCAGAACTGTACGCAGTATTCCAAATGTGGTCGAACCAAAGTCCTATACAACTGTAACATGATGTGCCAACTCTTGTACTCAATAGCCCGTTCGATGGATGAAAGCATGCCATATGCCTTCTTGACCACTCTATCAACCTGCATTGCCACCTTCAGGGTACAATGGACCTGAACACCCAGATGTCTCTGTGCATCAATCTTCCCCAGGGCTTTTCCATTTACCATATAGTTCGCTCTTGAATTGGATCTTCCAAAATGCATCACCTCGCATTTGCCTGGATTGAACTCCATCTGCCATTTCTCCGCCCAACTCTCCAATCTATCTATATTCTGTTGCATTCTCAGACAGTCCCCTTCACTATCTGCTACTCCACCAATCTTAGTGATATCTGCAAACTTGCTAATCAGACCATCTATACCTTCCTCCAGATCATTTATGTATATCACAAACAACAGTAGTCCTAACACAGATCCCTGTGGAACACCACTGGTCACAGTTCTCCATTTTGAGAAACTCCCTTCCACTACAACTCTCTATCTCCTGTTGCCCAGCCAGTTCTCTATCCATCTAGCTAGTACACCCTGGACCTCATGCGACTTCACTTTCTCCTTCATCCTACCATGGGGAATCTTATCAAACGCCTTACTGAAGTCCATGTATATGACATCTACACCCTTCCCTCAGCTATTAACTTTATCACTTCCTCAAAGAATTCAATGAATTTGGTAAGACATGACCTTCCCTGCACAAAACCATGCTGCCTATCACTAATAAGTCCATTTTCTTCCAAATGTAAATAGATCCTATCCCTCAGTATCTTCTCCAGCAGCTTCCCCACCACTGACGTCAGGCTCCCCGGTCTATAATTACCTGGATTATACTTGCTATCCTTCGTAAACAAGGGGACAACATTAGCAATTCTCCAATTCTCCGGGACCTCACCCGTGCTCAAGGATGCTGCAAAGATATCTGTTAAGGCCCCAGCTATTTCCTCTCTCACTTCCCTCAGTAACCTGGGATAGATCCCATCCAGACCTGGGGACTTGTCCACCCTAATGCCTTTTAGAATACCCAACATTTCCCCCCGTCTTATGCCGACTTGACACTAGCCTTGCCATTTGGCACAGACACAAAGCCAATGTGCATGTCATGGTTATCAGCCGTCCTCAGTGAAAGCAAGGGAGCCAGTCTTCAATTAGGGGCTGCCGTTACAGTCAGTCAAACCCAGTGTCCACTGTCAGTCCAGAGGCTTGGGGTCAGTCAGCCACTTGGGGCAGTCAAGGTTAGGATCCTCGCCTCATAGGGTGGGAGGAGTCAACCGTTAGGCAGCACAGCAGCTGCTGAAGCTCTTTTCACCCCATTGTGGGTTGTTTTCCCTGGGAATGTGAAAAAAGGGAGGAATTATGTGAGATGAAAGTGGTGTTAACCACAACGGTTAGTTATGATGCTGGTGAGGGGAAGGTGATGAAGTGTCCCAGGTGAGTTGTTTGGCCATTCAAGGGGGGAGGAGAGAGGGCTTTGGGGTGGGTGAGTGCGGGTGAGGGAAGATGTTGCATGTAATTGTGAGAGAGTTAGAGCTTCTGTGAGAGGTAGATGCAGGAGTGGAGACAGTGAGAGTGTGGGGTGGTAAACAGAAGATGGTGGCTCTTGCTCTGGCAGAATGGAGAAGGCCATTGGTGACTGCAGATGGCAGAGGCTGCAATGACCCACGTGGCTTCTTTGGAGCAGGCTGGCATGTTCTAACGATGTGACCTCCATTGCTGGTCCTGGTGGATATCCTTGCTCCATACTAACCTGTCCGCCAGGACTTGTCTGCACAGCCGGGGTGGGAGGAGGGCAGGCAATTTCTCTTGTCTGCCACATCTTGAGAAAATGCTACAAACCATGCAGGGCGTCCCTAGACTGACAGTGCTTGACCATGTGCACTATGGCCTTTTAAAGATGGTACGAATGCCAGAGATGTCAGCCTGGTCCAAGATATCCAGCAATGCTGTGTTCTTTCAGGGCAGGGGTAGTGGTAGAATCAGGCTAGCATCAAACATGAGGTGAGCGTAGGGGGCAGAAAAAGGTGAGTTTGGCATGACTGTATGAGCAAACCTGCTGGGCCATGCAGAGAAAAACTCTCTACAAAACTCAATTAAATTGACACTGAACTAAAAGAAAATGTAAGATTTAGTCCAAGGAATCCCAAAGATATTTCAAGGGATATAAATGCGTACTTAGCTCATTTATCTGAATGACCTCTGACTCCAATACATACAAGGAAACTAATTTGCTTAAAATAAATGTGTTAACACCATGGAGGGGAGATGGTTTTCTGCATATAAATGAAGAGCTATACTTACATACTGCCTTTCCCAATATCAAGATGTCTCAAAACACTTTACAGCCAGTACTTCTGAGGTGTAGTCACTGTTATCGGCTTGAAATACAGCTGTCAATTTGTGCACAGCAGGATCTCACAAACATGCTTGTGTGGTAATGAACGTTTAATCTGCTTTCTTGTATATTGGGTCAGAGATAAACAGTGGGCAGAGAAACTCCCCTACTCTTTTTTTTTGAGATAGACTCTTGGGAACTTTATTTTACGTGTTTACCTTATTATCTGCAGACATAGCCTCTGACAGTACAATGCTCCCTAAGTCATGCTGGGGGATGGTGGGTGGGGGATGTGTGGTGTAAAAGCCAGGATTTCTGTGCTCGAGTTCTGTGGAGTAGGATTTGAGCCAATAATTCACTGAACAGCGACCAACACTTAAATCAAAAGTCCACTTGTTTTACATAGCAAGAATTCAAGGCCTAAACTGGATTAAAGACGAGAAAGAAAAGGCACAGGGAAATTAGAAAGGAGAACTTGAACTGCAAACAGGAAAGCCGAGAAATTTGTTGACATCACACCTTCCTTTTTGGAGTAAAGAGAATGAAACAAAGCTTAAGATGCCCCTGAGAAGCAAAATAGCAAGCATTGTCTCTCTACAACTGCTGTGAAATCTTCTTCAGTGACTGTCTTATTTGGCCCCTTTCTCCCTTTTTTTATTTAGCTGGTGTATTTTAGTCAAAATTAAGTAGCTTTTTATTCCCATGTGTGGACATTCCTGTATGATACCCACTAGAAGAGTTCCAAATCGACACCTTTGATCGAGAAAATTACATTTCTGGTTAGCACCAGACTTGGTCAGTTCGCACTTGTTGCACGAAACTCTGAATTTTGCACACATGTCCCAGAGTTAATCCTATTTTTACACATTCACTAATTTGTTTCTGTTCTAGTTCCCTGCCGCATATGTTATTGCTGATACAGTGTCCCCGGGAAACAGTTGCTGTGTGTTGTGGAAGCTGTGTGGGTGGGACTGAACTGTTCACCACAATGCTCTCACTCAGATAAATAGCAGCTCAGGAAGTTCTGGGGTAGAAGCAGTGCTGTAATCCACTTCAAGCAAGAGCGTAGATGACAACCAGTAACTGTCCAACATATAGTATCGATTCACTTGGAGACTTTCTGAAACGTGAGTGTTGACTTTTACGCTGTGTTGAAAGTGCCATGATGCTAAATAGGCTGCTCTTTTGAATTCTAAAACCTTAACTTTAAACATAGATTGACAGTTAATATATTTGAATGCCTAGCAGCTGACACATCAATTAATTGTATAGGATTGAACTGGAACATTTGGCTCATCATAACTGTGTTAACTTTTTGTAAGATTTATCCAATTTTCTCCTGCCCTCTCCTAATGGCCCTGAAAATTTTGCTGTTTCAAATATATGCCAAGTTTCTTTTGATCTTTGCTAATGTGTATGTTTCTGCCACGTTTTGAGGCAATGCCTTCTAGATCATGCCAAAACACCACCCAAAAAAAACTCCTCAGGCCTCCTTTGGCTCATTTGCTAATTATTTTTCAATCTGCATCTCCCATTTCCCACCATTAGAAACAGTTTATTACGTCAGAGCTCAAATGAACTTTTCAGTGTTTCCTAAACTCAATATTTCTCAACATTCTGGAATGTCATGTAATATTCTGTTCTCAATTTTACATAGATGTTGAAATCACAATATGAGTAATAGATGATGTATTGTCAGGTATGTTGAGATTATTTATTATCTATTTTCATTGGGTTAGTTGTTATCATAATTATGTTGAGGATAAACTTCCATTCGAATAGCTTCGTGTGTTGCTTAATATTGTCCCAGGTTCAACATCAGTGATCCCTGAAGTTGGATCGCGTTGTTGATGCTTTACATTCAGAGATCTGATCAACAGACCAAAAGTGGCAGTGAGAAGAGCTGAAAGGAATAGGAGGTCGTCTACAGGAGGTTGGATCAGGAGATCCGTGGCTATATGATGCCAAACTTGGTTCCTTAGGAACCTGTTGACAGTTTGCCAAAGGGAAGGCTGAGTGAGATATGGAGTGTCGTAATCCCAGGTCCTGGTAGAAACAAGTATTAAGAATGTTCAGAAGCTGCCAAATCCGCGGCCTCTACCTGGAAGGACCAGGAAGCATGGGAACACCACTGTCTCCAAGTCAACACATTTGGAATTATATCTCCGTTCCTTCACTGTTGCTCAAGGTGAACATCCTGGAATCTCCCCTACACCACTGTGAGTGCAGCTTCAACATGCATACTGCAGTGGTTCAAGAAGATAGCTCACTAACACCTTCTCAAAGTCAAATAGACTTACATTACCAATTATTGCAATTGCACTCGATTGGTTGCAGGCAGTTTCAGATGTTTCGAAATATATGAACATACGGTTTCAAAGCTGACTTCAAATTCTTCTAATCTTTCTGTGCTCTAACCAGAGAATAAGGCTCAATTAACAGGCTATCGATAAAGGTGGAGTCACAGGTAAACAGGATAGTGAAGAAGGCGTTTGGTACAATTGCCTTTATTGGTCAGTGCATTGAGTACTGTACAGCACATTGATTAGGCCACTTTTGGAATACAGCGTTCAATTCTAGTCTCCCTGCTATAAGAAAGATGTTGTTAAACTTAGAAGAGTGCCGAAAAGATTTTACAAGGATGTTGTCGGGGGTTGGAGGTTTGAGCTACAGGGAGAGGCTGAATAGGCTGGGGCTATTTTCCCTGGAGCGCCGGAAGCTGAGGGGTGACCTTATCCAGGTTTATAAAATCATGACGGGCATTGATAGAGTGAATGGCCAAGGTCTTTTCCTCAGGGTACGGGAGTCCAAAACTAGAGGGCATAGGTTTAAGGTGAGAGGAGAAAGATATAAAAGGGATCTGAGGGGCAACTTTTTCACGCAGAGCGTGGTGTGTGTATGGAATGATCTGCCAGAGGAAGTGGTGGAGCCTGGTACAATTACAACATTTAACAGTCATTTGGATGGATACATGAACAGGATGGGTTTAGAGGGATATGAGCCAAATGCTGGCAAATTGGAACTGGATTAATTTGGGATATCTGGTCAGCATGGACAAGTTGGACCAAAGGGTCTGTGTCCGTGCTGTATGCTCTATGACTCTAATTGCTAACAACTCTCCTGGCTGCGCCATTATGTAGGGCTGCTGAACCTGCTTGAAGAGCACCTTTAATGATCTCAAGATCTCCGTAATCATTTTACAATTAATTCAGCAGTTTTGAAGTAGAGTCACTGCCACACTTTAGGAAACACGGCAGATGAATTTATGCATAGCAAACTCCCACAAACAACAATGTAAAAATAACCAAGTACTTTGTCTTAGTGGTATAGTAAATTTATGGTAGTTGGCTAAAGATTTCTTTGCAAACTCAGTGAGCTGCTTTGGTTAGGATGTAATACCCATGATTTTTTGTGTACAAGCACAGGAAATTAGGAGCAAGAGCAAGCTCCGACATTCAATAAGATTATGGCTGATTCGTTTTTCAATTCATTCACTGGATGTGGGCTTCACTGTCTAGGCTGGCATTCATTGCTTGTTCCTAACTGCTGAGAGGTCAGCTCAATGCCAACCAGATTGTTTGGGTCTGATTGTCACATTTAGGCTAGACCAGGTGAAGATAGCAGATTTCCTTTCCCAAAGGATATTTACAAACCAGATGCATTTTTTCCTGGCAATAATTTTGTGATCATCAGAACATTCTTAATTCCTGATACTTTTTACTGAATTCAAATCTCACAATCTGCCTTGGTGGGATTTGAACCTGGATCCTCTGAACATTAGCTGAGTTTCTGGATTATTAGTTGAGCAACAATACCACTAGGCCATTTCTATCCCTGATAGCCTTTAAAATCCTTGCTTAAAAAGAAACTACTTCCCTCAACCTCAAAAATATTCAAGTGTTCAGCTTCAACAACCTTTTCAGGAAGAGAGTTCAAAAGACTCATGACCCTCTGAGAGAAAACAAGAAATTGCCTCATCTCTGTTTTGAACAGAGACCCCTCAGAACCTTATATGATTTAATCAAGTTACCAAATACTTGCTAAACACCAGCAAATACAAGTCTAACCAGTGCAAAACAAAAAAAGGAACTTACTGAAGAAACTCAGATGGTTTGGCAACATCAGTGGTGAGAAAGTAGAGTTAACATTTCGAATCTGGTGACCCCTCTTCAGAAGATTTTTTTTGTCTAGTCAGTCCTACCATTCTTCATAAGACAACTCTTTTGCTCCAGTTGTTAGTCTGGTAACTGCTCTCTGAAATGCCTCCAATGTATTTACCTCCTTCCTCAAATAAGGTGATTAATACTATGCACAGCACTCCAGATGTCATCTTTTAAACCTTTGTGATTCATGCACAAGGACACTCAGATTCCTTTGCATCTCAGAGCCTTCATAATTCCCTAGACTTAAATATTTAAAATCGTCTTGGACCCATTCTTTTCTTCTTAAAACTGATTGTAAGATTAAATCATGTTATGGTCGCTACTATCTAAGGGGCACATTTAGATCATAGAATCATAGAATCCCTACAGTATGGAAACAGGCACTTCGGCCAAACAAGCCCACACCGACCCTCAGAGTATCCCACTTATCCTCCTATAACCGAGTTAATCTACATATCCCTGGACACTATGGGCAATTTAGCATGGCCAATCCACCTAGCCTGCACATTTTGGACTGTGGGAGGAAACCCACGCAGACGCGGGGAGAACGTGCAAACTCCACATAGATAGTCACCCGAGAGATTATTTACCATGAGAATATTATGCTTTTTCATGCCACAATACCAGATCTACTACAAACTGCTCCAGAATATGCTGTTCCCAGAAACTATCTTGTCAACAGTATATGAACTTCTCATCTAGCCCATCTGACTTTTCCAGTCACAATGTAGATTAAAATCTCCCATTATTTCTTCTATTATGCTCCACTCTACACATGGTTACTGTTAAGGGGCATGTACACCACAAGGAACTTTATGATTTCTCATTTCCATTCAAACTGTTTCCACATGTTTTCTTGTCATTCTTCCATATTATGCTGATGCCATCATTAACTCACAGATTCACCGCTCCACTTTTTCCTAACTTCTATCATTCCTAATTCCTATGTCCTGTACCCTTCAAGATTCATAGAACATAGAACACATAACAGTACAGCACAGTACAGGCCCTTCGGCCCACGGTTGTGCCGACCTATTATCCTACTAAGATCAAACTACCCTGTATACCCTACATTTTACTGTCCTCCATGTGCCTATCCAAGATTCTCTTAAAAGTCTCGAAAGTATCTGACTCCACTACCACTGCCGGCAGCGCAGTCCACACACCCACCACTCTCTGTGTGAAGAACCTACTTCTGACATCTCCCATACCTTCCTCCAATCACCTTAAAATTATGCCCCCTCGTAATAGTCATTTCTGCCCTGGGACAAAGTCTCTGGCTATCCACTCTATCTATGCCTCATCATCTGGTACAACTCTGTCAAGTCACCTCTCGTCTTTCTTCGCTCTAAAGAAAAAATCCCCAGCTCCCTCAGCCTTTCCTCATAAGACCTGCCCTCCAGTCCAGGCAGCACCCTGGTAAATCTCCTCTGCACCTTCTCTAAAGCTTCCACATCTTTCCTATAATGAGCCAACCAGAACTGAACACAATATTCCGAGTGTGGTCTAACCAGGGTTTTATAGAGCACCAGCATAACCTCACAGCTCTTAAACTCAATTCCCCTCAATTCAGGTCCCTATCCCTGCCATTCTTCTGTGATGTCTCTGTAATGTCTACCCGATCATACCTACACATTTCTATTTGCAATCTCAGTTCACATATTTTGTTTTAAATATTACATGCATTCAAATACAGAGCCTTCAATTTTATCCATCCACTCTTATGCAAATTTTAGTCTTATCTGTTGTTTGACTCATAAATTTGTACTCTTTACCCCTTCTTGTCTGAGCCTGCATATCATTTCCTGAATGAATACCTTGCTTGCTGGCCTTGAGTCTAAGCTTTGATATAGCACATCCTCCCGAACTTTGTCTTTTGCCCCACTATTTAGTTCAGAAGCCACTGCATCCATTTGACTCTGTGGTTTGCAAGAACAGCAATCCAGCACAATTCAGGCAGAGGTCATCTTCATTTCCAGAGAACAGTATTAGAGGCGTGAACATCACTTCAGAGATTGTTCAATATTCAATGCCATTGTGACCAGCGTTCCCTCTGATTTTCTTCCCAGTTGCACAGGGGTCTCTGTGCGGCAGAAATCAATGCCAATGTTGGCTGTTGACGCCAATAGCCATGCATGGAACTTTAGAATAGCTGCACACGTAGCTTAGAGGGAACACTGATTGTTACATTGAATTGCAATGAGGATCCCCGCACTTCTTAGCTCCTTTGGGCTTTCGGCAAAATTCCCACTTCCTGAGCCGTGCAATCAAAATTTACCCCTGATGCTAAAGATAAATCAGTTACAGGACACTGGGTAGTTGTTTCCCATTTTTCTAATTGGACAAATGTTTGTCGTTAAGGATAGGGTTATGCATTCCACATTCCTCTATTAGGGCATGGTTTGGTTTTCTTTTGACCATGTCGCCTTTTTCACTATTTTCTGAAATAACAGGAAAAGTGCTTCTACATCCTTTTCCTCAAACTTAACTATTTCCCTCCTGGATTTTAGATCATGAATTGGATATTCCCCATCAGTGCCTTCCCTGCTTCTAAGTCTTCTTTTATAACTGCATCACTCTAAGCTTAAATTCTTTCGCTTTCTCTCTTTATTGAATCTCTGGATCCAGCTTTCCTATTTCCATTTCCATTCTTTTTAATTCCAGTTCCTAGTCCTTGTCTTTCTCTGCCTTTCCTAGCTTCTTCAGTTTCCCTTTATACTTAAATTACTTTGACTGTAACTCAACAGCCTCGTGGCATTATCACTGGACTGTTAATGCAGAGACCCCAGGTCGTGTTCAGGGGACCCGTGATCAAATCCTGCCATGGCAGATGGTGAAATTTAAGTTCAATTGAAAGTCCAGAATAAAGAGTCTAATGATAACCGTCAATGGTGGATAAACCCATTTTGTTCACTAATGTCCTTTAAGGGAAGGAAACTGCCATCTTTACCTGGTCTGGCCTACATCTGACTCCAGACATACAGCAATGTGGTTGACTGTTTAACTACCCACTGGGCAATTAGGGAAGGGCAATAAATATTGGCCTAGCCAGGGACACCCTCGTCCTGTGAATGAATAAAAAAAGCTGTCTCACCCTTTGGCATACCTGTTCTCTCCTGTATCTATATTAAGCCCAAATTGCCCTACAATTGGAGTAAGAAGCTAGGTAACTTGCTTCATCGTGAAACTAGGCCGTGGAACAGACCCGTGAGATCTGGGGCAACCACAAAGAATGGTGATGAATTTACTGCCTGGCAGAATCTGTGGAGAGAAAGAATTAAATTTCAAGTCTGGTATGACTCTTCCTCAGTTTTGAAGAGTCATACCTGAACTGAAACATTATGTCTTTCTCTCTACAGACGATGCCAAATCTGCTGAATTTCTCCAGCATTCTCTGCATTTAATTCAAATTTCCAGCATCTTCAGTATCTTGCTTTCATCCTGAGATCTGGGTCTGATCCACCCTGCACTAATGATGTTGAGCTTTCGTGTCTGCCAGACATTTGATTTGATTTGGTTTATTATTACATGTACAGAGATATAGTTTTGTGTGCTATTGAAGCAAATCATACCTTACATAAGTACATCAAGGTATTATAACAGAATGTAGAATATAGTGTTACAGCTACAGGGAAGATGCAGAGAAAGATCAACTCTAATATATGTGAGGTTCATTCATAAGTTTGATAACAGCAGGGAAGAAGCAGTTCTTGAATCTTGAGGGTGGAAATGAGTATAACTTGGGTGGAAGGGGTCTTTGATTATGTTGGCTGCTTTCCCAAGGCAGCTGGAAGCATAGACGGAGTCAATGGAAGGAAGGCTGGTTTTTGTGATGGACTGAGCTGCATTTACAACTCTCTGTAATTTCTTGTGGTCTTGGGTAGAGCTGTTGCCATACCAAGCTGTGATGCATCCAGATAGGATGCTTTCTATGGTGCATCTATAAAAATTGATAACAGACATTTTTTTATGGATGCATATAAGGGCCTGTTCGGTTTGAATATTGTCTCAATTACTTTTTTTTACCTTCCTCACTGTGTTGTGTCCAATGCCAGTCTTTCAATAAAAGATAATTAATTAATCTGTGTGAGTGATCTGAAAAGTCACTATGTAAACACAGATCATTCTTTCTCATATAACATAGAGAAAGGTGAGACATTTCAACTTATAGGATGTCCCAAAGTGTTTTAAAGCCAGAGCAGTATCTTTTAAAGCGTAGTCACTGTTCTAATGTAGAAAATTGGGCAGCTGATTTTCACATAGAAAGCTCTCACAAACAGAAACATGACAATGGTTAGGTAATCTGGTTCAGTGTAGGTGCTTGTTAGATAAATATTGACAGGACTTCCTCCTGCTTTTTGTTTCAAGATAGCGCTGTGGAAATATCACACATCCAACTGAAAGGGCAATGTGGTTCTTTGTTGTGTCTGGACCAACACCAGTAGGCGCAATGATTGCAGCCCGTGCTGTTTCTACAACTATTTCTTTATTTATCGCTCAGTCAGTTTAACACCACAACATAAAATTGGATCAGGATACAACACAAAGCTGCCTGAGGCTTAGTTATTACCTACCCTGGTGAGGAATAGCTGGCCTTGCTTCAGCCACTCAGCTACCTGTGTCCTTCCTCATTGGACCTTGAACTCAGGGACCTGCTTCTGCAATGGTTGTTCCCAAGTTATCGCTTTCAATGTCTTCAATGCCTTTACCTTTATTGCTTTCCTTGATCTTCTATCATATATCCCTGCCCAGGATCCCCGTGACTCTGGGATCATCTATTCAAGGGCCATATAGATGACTGGCATCTGTTTTGTTGTATTCTCTACTATCTTTAATTTAGACATCTTGATAACCACAAAACTTGAGCAGCTCTTATCACTAGATGCCTCTTTAGTCAGCAGTGTCTGGTACTGCCCTGAATAGTAGGTTATTGTTCCTGTGAAGTGGGCCACTTTTCCCATCATCCTTGACTGTTAACCACACCGGTCCAGTGTGGAAGTTAAAATGTAGCATACAGCAGTAGCACTGGGGAAGTCGGTTGAACATCACAGTCCAAGGATGACACTTCTCAGAGAGCAGCACTTTGCTCGGTACTGCATGGAAAGTGTAACCTCAGTAAGGTGCTCATTCCTCTGGAGGGGAACTTGAAGCCAAAAACAAATTGACTCAAGAGACCGAACATGGGCAGTAACTTGTATATTACTGGTGAATAATCAAATAATTGTTGTGTTCTCAACAGAAAGAAGATGACGACAAACGCATTCCTGCACGAGACCGCAACAATCATAAACACTTCCTCAAATAGAACTATCTGTCCAGAAGATCATAAGTATAAATACATGGTCTACTCCAGCGTGTACAGTGTTGTATTCGTCATTGGGCTGCTTTCAAACATGTTGGCTCTGTTTGTGTTCTACCGCATTGCAAAGAGTAAGAATTCCAGCACCGTCTACCTGATGAACCTCGCTGTTGCTGACCTCCTGTTTGTGTTCAGCCTTCCCCTGAGGATTGTCTATTATCTAAGAAACGGAGACTGGCCATTCAGAGATTTCCTGTGTCGGGTGTCCACCTATACTTTCTATGTCAGCATGTATTGCAGTATATTCTTCCTGACTTGCTTGAGCATATCGCGTTTTTTGTCCACGGTCCATCACATAAGGCATCAAAGAATTTTCACTTTTCGGCGGTGCATCATAGCATGTATTATAATCTGGCTCTTTGTGGGCGTGGCTACAGCTCCCTTCCTGCTATCAGGGAGCCAACCTTATCACGACAAAATCAAGTGTTTTGAGCCTATGTTCTCCGTGTCCTGGACTCGCATTGCTAAGATGAACTATTTTGCGCTGACTGTTGGGTTCCTTATTCCCTTTGCCATCATTCTCATCTGTTACTCTTTGATGATAAAGTACTTAATGGGGGTCAGTTGGCAGTCAAGGCGAATCAAGAGAGACATAGCCATGATCGTGCTGGTTCTGGGAGTGTTTTTAATCTGTTTCCTTCCCTACCATGTGCAAAGGACAGTGCATTTACACCACCTGGTCCATCACCACAATGACTGCGAGCTGGAAAACATTCTCCGCAGGTCAGTGGTGGCTACATTGTGCCTGGCAGTGGCCAACAGTTGCTTTGACCCTTTGCTTTATATTTTTGTGGGGCAAGGGTTTAGAACATTCGTCAGGGCATGGCTGAAGAGAAAGGAATCTAACGTCTCATACAGCTCCTCGAGTAGCAAGCTCTTCGTTAGCGCTGCATTTATCCAACAAGGTCGTATGTTGGAATCATTCACAGAACCAATAAAGCCAACCCAGACTCTGCAGCATGGACAAGATGAATTACTTACTGGAAAAAGTCAAGGAGATGCTACAGAAATATAGCAAAACAGAAACTGTTGATCACATCCAGCAAGACAGCCCACAGTGACTTCTCAAAAGTCTCCACTATGCTGGTTAGATGAGGAGAGTTTTTTTTGTCCTTCGCGGGTTGATTGGTAAAGATTTTGTACAAAAGGAGTTCCTTAAGAAGAAAATGTGATGGAGCGGTTTGATGGTGACAGTCGGGAAAATGGGAATTGTCTACAATTTGCCACTTTCTCAAAACAACAGTGATTCCTGAGCTGTCAAAGGGAGGTGTCAAGAAGAGTGGGAGGTGGAGGATGAGTTGGAACCACAAGACAGAGAGAATGGATGGGTGTGACTTTAAAAAGGAAAATGAATTAGGTCGCTAATCACGTACATTAGAGCATTTTTAAATATATATATATAAAAAATTATCCAGTCCAGTGACTGATTATTCCACTGGTGCCAAACATATTAAGATTTATTTCAAAGATATAATAAAACAAATATGTTGAGAGTTCAACTTCTGATCTGAAAATTTCCGAGGTGGCCCACTTCCTATTCCTTGTGCTCTAAAAATATTGACTCCACCCACAGCATAGTCCCTGTCACCCAAAAACATTCCCCAGTCCCGAATTCTGCAGGGTCCTACAGAAGATACCTCACAGAGAGTGTCCCATAGAGAATACCCCATAGAAAATACCTCACAGAGAATACCCCAACGGAGTATCCCACCATAGAGTGTGCCACAGAGAATACCCAGCAGAGCGTACCCCAAAGACAATGCTCCATATAGAGCCCCATGGAGAATGCCCCACAGAGAGTGCCCCACAAAGGGTCTGATGTTCTTATGTTTCAGTTTTACAAGAAGGTATTTAACCACATACCTTTACAAATCTTTGACAGAATTCCTTTATAGGTTTGTGGGGCCATCTCACTCCGTCTATGAGGCATAAGCAGAAAAATCTCTAAGCTCAATACCTCAGTCTGTAGTGATGCTGGTAATTGCAGTCAGGGCAACAGCAGGAAGGAAAGAGGTGCGTGTAGACCGTAAATGCCAGTAAGGAACTGTTGGGTCCAAGTAGCCTGTTTTTGTGTGATTTTATCTATGTAATTCCATGTGTTGCTATCTAGAAGAAGTGCTCATAACTATTAGATATCTCCAGATGTTGGGGAGCTTGAACATTTTACAAATGAAAGATGAGGAGTTGTCTGAATTATGCAAGAACAAGAGAGATGAGGAAGGAAAACTAGGTGCCAAAAACATTAGTTGGGTCTATAAGCACAGAAAGAACAAGCAAAATGAAAGTATGTCAGTTTGTTGCAGAATTAACATCCGCTCATCTTTCTGCCATCTCTGAACCAATTAATTTATGTATTATTAAATGCTTCAAACATAACTGGAAGAGATATTATTTTCTTTGAGACATCATTGTGTTATTTAATCATGTTGTGACTTTGAACAAAGCTTGATGCACTTTTTAATAAGTTTTCATGTACTACAAAAGTATTTGCTTTGGAGTGAGAATTTCCACAATTGTTCCAATTCAGTGTATGTTTCTGTTCTGTAAGCTTAATTAAATGACTGAGGTGTTTACCTTGCCTGGTCAGTTGTTGCTCAGTTGGTGGCATATTTTGCCTCTGAATCAGAAAGTCCTATATCCAAGTACAACAAAAAATACTTGGAGCATGTAACAGAAGATGACACTCAGTCTAAAGTGCTGTCCTTTGTCTGGTGTCTCAGGGGCTATTCAGAAAATGTCATCCTAGACAATATTTTCACCTTAACCATTATCTGGCTGTTACCACATCACTCTTGTGGGAACTAAGCAATTGCTGCATTACCATCTTTTACAGCAGCAACTACGTGACAAAAGCACTTCAGTATCATTGAAAAAAAGACATATTTTGAATCATGGAATCCCTGCAGTGCAGAAAGAGGCTGTTCGGCCTATCGAATCTGCATCCAGCCTGTAACCTCACATTTCCCATGGCTAATCCACCTGGCCTATACATCCCTGGACACAATGGGCAGTTTAGCATGGCTAAACCACCTAACCAGCACATCTTGGAGCTGTAGGAGGAAACTGTAGCACCTGGCAGAAACCCACGCAGACACAGGGAGAATGTGCAAATTCCATGCAGTCATCCAAGGCTGGAATTGATGGGAAGTATCTCTCAGCACTGACTCTGTCCAGCTCATTACAATTCCTGCACCCATCAGAACATGCAAGGATGCCATTTCAAGGGGTAAACAACATTTGTACTGCACAAGAGGAGAGTGCGGTTTTGTTGCCAGGTGGATTCTGATTGCTAGAGGTGTTTTTGATTGTGCCTTGAGATAGACCAAAGCAATAAAATGCTCATTATGTATGCAACTGTTTATCTACAGCATAATCATCAACAATTTCTCCAACAGTTCCAATGTCTGCTCATTCTTGATAAATGCATAATTGTAAATTCTTTCATATCAGTTACAAGCATATTGAAGCAACTTGCTTACCAAAAGTGTGCTGACCATACAGAGAGAACTGTACTGATAGAGCAGAGAAAGAAATTATGAAAATTTTGACCCAAACAATACTGGCACATTCATCAATAATTACATGAGTGTTTCCCTCCAGTTTCTAAACATTTAAGTGATTGTTTGAAAGCAGTGTAATGAAAATGGCTTATGGAGACTCAGAGCTGAACTTCAATTTATAAATCTAAATTTTGGTAATGAGTTTTTGGTAACAAATTTAAGTCATCATCTGGCAAGGGTCCAGTGGCTTTCTTTTTTCCTTTATAGTAGACAAAGTATGAAATTCCAGACACTTTTAAGAGGATAAAACCAGAATATTGCTCTGTTCTGAACAAACAACAGTACAACTTGGAGATAGTAAGAACTGCCGATGCTGGAGTCAGAGATAACAAGGTGTGGAGCTGGAGGAACACAGCAGGCCAGGCAGCATCAGAGGAACAGGAAAGCTGACGTTTAGGGTCGGGACTCTTCTTCAGAAAAGACCCCTCATTTTTCTGAGGAAGGGTCCTGACCCGAAACGTCAACTTTCCTGCTGCTCTTATGCTGCCTGGCATGCTGTGTTCCGCCAGCTCCACACTGTGTTATAACAGTACAACTTGACTCTACAAAGTTAGGATAGTAATGTAATCTACAATATAACGTCCAATTAAAATAACACTGAAATAAACATGGTTAACAGGTGCACGATTGTTAATGCCCAACAAAATACATCAAATAACAAATGCAATCAAGTCAGATCACACAGATTTCCTGACAACTGCCCAGATGTATCTGGTGATCACCATATCTCATTAAAACATTACAAAGGATTGTAATTCTTAGCTGTTGAAGACTGAGCTTCAGGGTTTTATTAAAAGTTGCTCTATCATGGACTGCCTCAATAATTGCTCATGTTCTGGTAGCTTACTCACCCAATCTCATCTGTGCTCCCTAGCGTTTGGAAATTGCAAACCACAGCATGTCCCAGGTACAGTTCCAGCTTATCACAGACAACTAGCCCTACCACACCAGTACTGTTCTGACATTTCTCTGAGATCTAATCCTGCACAGCTACACTAAGCCAGTACTTTGTGTAGGTTTCCTTCACGCACTGGACTGTTCCTTGAGCCTGCAGAGCTCTCAGGGCTTTTCCTGAATCTGAGCCTCAACACTTAGCTATATATCCTGGTTCCTCAGACTTCTTCTGAGTCTTAACGACCAGGAACCTGCTAAAGCAACACTTTTTAATAATGAAGCCTCATCTTCCTGCTCTGAAGCATCCGACTGACTGAGACCACAAAACTAGAAACCTTCTCCCAGGAGATAGTAAGAATTTCTGAAGAAGGGTCCCAACCCGAAACGTCAGCTTTCCTGCTCCTCTGATGCTGCCTGGCCTACTGTGTTCCTCCAGCTCCACATTGTGTAACCTTCTCCCAGAAATGCTTTCACAGTACTGACTAAAATTGGCTGCTCAGTAATTCTAGAACTGTTCTGAGTGACTCAGCAAAAAACTTGCAAGAAGTCCCAGCCTTATTGATAGGCTACATACCTAATATTTTGGATCAATGTGAAAAACACACATGAAGAGGATTTCATCACAACTTGCAAATGGGGACAGGGCAGAGAGCCCATTTAACTATATTGGAAGCCCTGGCTAAATAATGCCTTCTTAACAATCTCCTTGAGCCACTGCTTAGTTTTTACTCATCACAGAGAAGCCAATGCTAACTACCCATCCAATAAAATTAATCAAACCTTTGGCTAGTCTGGAGGGGCTGCTGCCTTCTGGTCAAAAAGACTGTGTTCCTCAGCATCCCCCTCATTCATTTTCACAACCCCGTGTTTCCCCTCCTTCCCATCCTTTTGATTTAAGGTTCCTCCTCCTGAAACCAACTTTGCTGGGGGCCAGCACCATGTCCCAGTGAGACTCAGGGAAGCCAGGGCTGTGTGTTGCTCATCTTCAGGGACTGACTGCAATACCAACAGTGGCCACCACTCCCAGTGGCACTGCTGGGACAAGAGAACAACCAATCAAATGGCTGATCAGCAGCTCTCAGAAGTCTTATCGCTTAACGTTTTTATAGGTCTAGCTGCATCATTTACGGATTAAGGATTGTGTTTCCTCTCAAAAAATTTATTGTATCTGTCACCAAGCTTATTCAACAATCCTGTGCTCGCACCGATATTTGCCCTCAGTTGTACTGTGGTTAAAGCCACAATTTGAGCCATTATGTTTTCAATCTGGGATCCTCTTTTGGAATCACTCTCATAAACTCCAACAAGACCCATAGGCTTTGAAAGAAATTTGCAGCATTACAATCACAGAGATCATCTCAGGGCACAGAAAATGCCCTTCAGCCCAACTATCTGCATTGATCAAAAACAACCGTCTAACTATTCTAATCCCATTTTTCAGCACTCGGTCTATAGCCTCATACACCTTGACAAACACAAGTTGCACATCTAAATGCTTTTAAATGTTATGAGGGTTTCTGTCTCTTCTACCCTTATAGGCAGTGAGTTCCAGATTCCTAACCTCATCTGTGTGAAAACTTTTTTTTCCCCAAATCTGCTCTAAATCTCTGGTCCCTTACCTAAATTGATGCCCATTGGTCATTGATCCCTCTATCAAGGGAAAGGTTTCCTTCTGTCTATCTTATCTACACCCCTCATAACTTTATACATCTCTAACATGTCCCCTCTCAATCTCCTCTGCTTTAAGGAAGACAACCCCATTCTATTCAATGTCTCTTCACAACTGAAACTCTCCAGCTCAAGCAACATCTTGGTAAATCTCCTCTGCAACCTTTCTATGGTGGATTATCCAAGGGAAATTTGGGGTTACAGGGATAGGGTAGGGGATGGGTCTGAATGGGAGGTTCAGTGTGCTCATGATGGGTTGAATGGCCTGCTTCCACACTGTAGGGATTCTATGACAAGTTTGATACTGGAATTAAAAAAGTCAATTATAATAAAGTGGAAAGAGCAGGGATACTAAAATAATTCATTAAAAAATAAAATGAATTTCAATAGTGATAGCAGGATGAACAGTGTGTTGCAACTGCAACATGTGGGAGCTATTGGAAGCCAAGATGAACCAGAGTGAGCATTTTTGTGATAAAACAAAAGAAAATGCAGCTCCAAAGAATTGACACTGGACTCGAAACATTAGCTCTGCCTTCTCTGCACCGATGCTGTCAGATCTGCTGTGTTTCTACATTAATTTCTGATTTTTTTATCTGCTGTAAATGCTTGCACCTTGAGAAATTTAGGATCCGTTTTGAGGAGCTGGAGTCCAAGCTGCAGACAATGTGTCACATCAGAGAGGGGGAAAGTTACCTGGAAACCTTCATCCAGGAGGTGGTCACACCCCTCAGATTCATAGAATCCCTGTAGTGTTGAAGCAGGCTATTCAGCCCATCAAGTTCACACTGATTCTCCAAAGAGCATCCCACCCAGACCCACCACCACCACCACCCCCACCCCACCCTATCCTTGTAACACTGCATTTCTCATAGCTAATCCACCTAACCTGCACATCCCTGGATGCTATGGGTAATTTAACATGGCCAATCCACTTAATCTGCACATCTTTGGACTGTGGGATGAAACCTTTAGGGAAGGAAACTGCTATCCTTACCTGGTCTGGCCTACATGTGACTCCAGACCCACAGCAATGTGGTTGACTCTTAACTGCCCTCTGGGCAGTTAGGGATGGGTAACAAATGCTGCCTAGCTAGCGACACCCTCATCCTGTTAAAGAATAAAGAGAAAAAAAAGGAAACCCACGCAGACATGGCAAGAATGTGCAAACTCCAGGCAGACGGTCGCCCAAGGGTGGAATGAAACCCAGGTCTCTGACACTGTGCAGAAGCAGTACTAACCACTGAGCTACTGTGCCATCTAAAATGAGTAATCAAAATTCGATATGTGATCAGGAATGGTGTAACAGCAAGTGAGGCAAGCATGGACATATGGGGTGATGGTGTTCAAAGGGTTTCAGACCCTGTGTTGGCCAACAATTCAGAGACTTTTGCAAGCTGTGTAGACACGAGTTGGGCATGCAGAGTGGATAAGCAAATTGACCATGGCACCATGG